TTTTTTTTTTTTTTTTTGAGTTGGAGTCTCGCCCTGTCATCCAGACTGGAGGACAGTGGCACGCTCCCGGCCACCCCAGCCTCGATTTGCTGTTCTCAGGCGATCCTTCCGCCTCAGCCTTCCAGGTATCTGGAACCACAGGCGTATCACCACGCCCGGCTAATTTTTGATTTATCGTAGAGATGAGGTCTCACCAAGTGGCCCAGGCTGATCTCGAGCTCCTGAAATGCTGGGAGGTGTGAGCCACTGCGCCCGGCTTGTAGTATGATTTTATGACTAAAATTGAAGGAAGCGAATTGATTTGTAGAAAAGTTAGACTAAACCAATGAGGGAAGGTAAACACGCTAACCATTTGAACTTGACTGCTGCTTGTAATTCATGTTTAAGCGCACTTGTATAAAAATTATTTATGGTCCCTGGAAGGAATTATGTACATCTCTTACTCCTTCCCCCAGTCTACCCACTGTTATCTCTGGGTTTAATCCAGACAGTTTTTTTGTTTCCACTACTGAGAGCCTTAAGCTTCCATGGGGTTAGGACTGCGTTTTAAAGTTTTGAGTTATGTGATAAAAGGATAAGTGCTCTTTTTTTTGTGTGTGGATTTGGAGTCTCACTCTGTCGCCCAGACTGGAGGACAGTGGCCGCTCCCGTCCACTGCAGCCTCGACCTGCTAGGCTCCAGCGATCCTTCCGCTGCATCCTTCCAAGTAGCTAGAACTACTGGCGTGCACTACCACGCCCGGCTAATTTTTTGATTTATTGTAGAGATTAGGTCTTGCCAAGTTGCCCAGGCGGGTCTCGAACCTGTGGGGACAGGCAATCCATTCACCTCAGTTTCCCAAATCGCTGGGATTACAGGCTAAGGCACTGAGCGCGGGTGATAAGTGCTCTTTTTTTTTTTTTTTTTTTTTTGGAGTTAGAGTCTCACTCTGTTGTCCAGACTGTAGTGCAGTCGCCGCTCCTGGCCACCGCAGACTCTACCTGCTGAGCTCCGGCGATCCTTCCGCCTCAGCCTTCCAAGTAGCTGGAACTACAGGCGCACGGTACCACATCTGGCTAATTTTTGATTTATTGTAGAGATGAGGTCTCCCCAAGTTACCCAGGCGGGTCTCGAACCCGCGGGCTCAGGCAATCCACTCACCTCAGCCTCCCAAAGGCG